CGCCATTCAGCATCGTCGTGTCATATGCCCATTTTGATATTGGTAACAATGAATGAATCTCAAAGTTTATAATAAAATATATGGAATTGTATTACATATTCGAATAATTGGGACATATCGGATGAACATTTCGTAATTGTCCATCTATGTTTTCGTTTTCATACTTAGATATTTTCAATCTATTCTTTGATAATAATGTAGGAATCCTGAATTTCATCAACTAGTATATCAAAGAAACGTGGAACTATATCTGATTTGGCTCAATCAAATTATATTAAGATGTTGAGAGACAAGTTGAACACTTGCAAAGATGAAAGTTAAATATAATCGATTGTCTTTTGAACACCCTTTTGATTTTTTCTTTGACGACAAACGACAATTATATTGAAAAATATGCTCGTTAGCTTCCTGAATTTCGAATCATCAAAGTGAAATTGTGTAAAAACATAGAACCGAGCGTTGGTAAGCAGAATAACTGGTCGACATAAGACTGAACCATAATCAATAGCTGATGCGAAAGCCTTTGCAAGAAAATGTCAAACTCTGTGACAACATATTGTCGACATCTTAATCAAAAACCTTGTTTCGCTAGAAAGAGCTATGTCAGAACTATAAATTTTGAACCAAATATATTTTTCCCGAATGAACTTCACAAGGAAGGAAAGTCCAATATCAAATACCTTCAAATCAGATCTTGCAATTTCATTTTCGAGCAACGACATTTTTTATTTTCCGCTATTCTTTTTTATATCAGATGGACGATGCAAAAAAAATGCGTTTAGTGTCAGTTGTTTTTCAAACGTAAAAAGTGCTCTTTTCAACGGTGTGTTGGAAGTTAAAATTACTCTTGGTTGTTATATCAAAATATAGCTTTTTCTTGAAAAGAAAACGGCTCAGTGAATTAGTCATTCTTACTAGCTGACCGTTTTGCAACGGTAAAATAATGCTTGTTTTAATTGCTGTGCGCTATATTTTTATGCATATTTATTCCAATTTCATTCAGTCATGTAACTCAGCATAATCCAGAAATACAGGTTTTGCATGGCGTATTATTAATATCATATAGAAAATTTTCGTCGACAATAAAGGAATAAAGAAGTTTACGAAGTGATATCGTGCTTAAATATGAATATAGAGAAAAACTTGTCAGTTTTGTTTCTAGCTGGGCTAAAATATTCAGTTGACGCATTGATTCCGAAGATTGTAGTAGTAGAGACTTACAGAAATACGTCGAAATTTTTCTTAACATATAGAAAAATACGATGGAGCATATTTCTGTCTATCTGCTGCTTTGATTCATGATTGTTCATACACAATGAATTGATTTCTGCGCTAGGGGTGTCAGTTTTGCGTTCCGTTCCTAGGAACGGGAACGCGGTGGCGTTCCCGTTTCCAGGAATGGGGAACGCATCTCAAAATCGCATTTTTGAGTTTTATTTCAACATGGCGAGATTTCTAGACATGTTCGCTTGTCTTTTTATGCTTGGATATTTAGCGTTCCCCGTTCCTAAGAACGGGGAACGGGAACGCAACATGCATTCCTTTCACTTTTAATAGAAGCTTTACGAATTCACCGTAGGAAAAGGAATTTCGTAAAAATCATGGATTTTTATAAAGTTTGGCCAAAAATAATCAAGGTTAAGGAATCCGAATATGCAGTCGATTTCTCAAAAATTTTGAGTTCGATGTTTTTTATTAGACAATAGATTTTTAGTAGAAAAAAGTTTTTTTCAAAAAGAGTTCTTTTATTAAAAACTCAGCTTTTTAGTAACAGTGTCTTTTTGGTTAAAAAAACAAACTCAAAATTTTGTGAAACGATTTATAGATTCAGATACCTCGATCCGGATTGCCTTTGGTCAGACTTTATACGAAATCGTTATTTTTAGAAAATTACTTTGCGCTCGATGAACTCGAAAAGTTTCCGTTAGTAGTTATCCAGCAAAGTAACTGACTGATAACTGTAACTTTCCTTGTATGTTAGAGACAGGAATAGTGCTCACACTTCTAATTACTATTTATGAACATGAGTTGCACACTCCTAGTTCCTAGAAACGGGAACGTCAAACACTCTAATATAAAAAGAAAAGCAAACTTGTTTTAAGACATTGCTACATTGAAGCTATTCTATGAAACGCATTATGAGACGTGTTCCCGTTCCTTAGAAACGAAACGCTCAAGAGCAGTAAAGCGGTAACAACTAATTCTCATTTAAAAAGATAAGCAAGAATTTATAAAAAAATATCTGCATATTCAAAGAGTCCTAGAAAATGCAGCATGCGATGCATTCTCTGTTCATGGAAATTGGGCTGACAATGGAGGCTCATCTTTATTGTGATCGTGGATTTCGGATTTTAAGGTGTCGAAAATGCCTAATTCGAGTGAACTTTATTTTTTGTTCTATTTATATATGGTTTGTTAAAGCTTGAAAAGCTGTTCATGAATATATAATTGTTCAATTTTGATTGAATAATTGTTTAGCTACAACAGCATTCAAGTTCACCATAGGAATGTCGCTCACTCAGTTGGTTCCCAGGAATAGAAACATGGAATACGGCTTGAGTTTCCACTCCTTGAAGCGAGAAATGCCACATGTGTTACAGCGTCTGAAAACTGAAGAATCTAGTTAGATTCGTCGGTTACTAAATAAAAACCGTAAGAAAATGCTCTGTTCGTAAGGAATTACTTCCGATACTAACAGATATTTTTTTAATCCGAGCCAGCATTAAAAATGATTCTCTCAACTTTGGACAAAAGTAAAAATGTGAAAGGTATGAAGTTGAGTAAAAGAAAAATGAAAATGTTGAAAGTTGAGATGGAGACTTCTGAATATTTGCTTCTTCAGAAAATTAAAACCTACATAAGTCAGCTCAAATAGAACGCCTATTATATTAACCAAGCAAAAAATGAAAGACAAGCAAAAGACTTGAAATATCATTTTATTGATCTTCAATAATCTTCTCGTTACGTAATCATAACTTTTTTTTTGTCACGATTGAAGGGAAACTGTTGAGAAGATTAGATTCTAAAATCAGATAGTTATACTATCGATTGTACGTGTTCATTCGAGTTTCTAATACTGTTTTTTGTGTAGTTTTTCTGCTACGATGAAAGTGTGAGTATGGCTTTAGAAAAAAATATACCCACACCCACACCTTCGTTCACATCCAAAATTTCACCAGTACACTGGCATACAATCGTATTCACACTTGCCTACATTCATGCACGCTCATATCCTATACGTTTAATATTTCTTAGTTTCTGCAATTAAGCTTTTGACAATTTTACTTTCGACTGTAAACTGTCGACATTTCCAACATCGACCGCTTTATTTTGACGTTTTCGTTACGAAGTTTTTACGTTCCAAATCTTTAATTTCGATCAAAGTTGCTTTTATCATGAAAGACATCTCTCGTTGTATCAGGCACTGAGTTTGCCTGATAATTAAACTTTGTCTATACTTAATATTACAATTAAATTAAATGAAGAGATTTTATATCTGTACAGTCTCTTTATGATCAGTTAAGCTAAATATTATTTTTATGGAAACTACTGTTCAATAACTTAAATTTTTTCTTCGTTAAGTTGAAGTACTATTAGAATAAGAACATAAAAAATATTTTAACGGGTCTCTTTCATTCCCAAACCAAAAGAGAAGTCGAAGTTTTTTATTAGTATTCAAGAATTTGATAAGGAACAAATCACAAACAAGTATTATAACAGCATCACACAAAACATTGTAACGTATAGATTATAGCAAAAAGTGCTATAGCAAAACAATACTAAAGGAAATTATAACGACAACATTATAACAAAAATTTCATAACGCTAAACAATGAAGACAAAAAACAATGCCATGAAACACAGTCAGCTGGAGTAAATCGAATATAGGAATTGGAATTTCATTTTCTTGTTGTTTTTTATGATGCATTTTACATGGCAAACAAACTCGTTTTTGAATCCCAACTGGATCAAAGTATTCCTTATAGATTGATCATAGAATCTATTAAAAAAGCATGTGTTAATGTTCGATGTTTCAAATTCAAAAATATTCGGGCTACAAAATAGTTTAAAACAAAGACGATAATTCCTCTCTATTGGTAGAGTTTATCATCAATTTTTGTGTAAATATTATGTTAAGCCAAAATAATCATGTGAAAGTTGAACCCTATATATCTGATATAGATTGATGTCAGTAGGGACACTTTATATCTTTGCTAAACATATCATTTACATAAAATTGGTGCTAAATTCTATCAATAAAGAGGATTCAACGCTTGTAATTTAAATCATTTTGTAGCCCAAATATTTCTGAATGTGATGCATTAAACTCTTCTTCCTGTAAGACCCATCATAAGCTCCTGATATTTTGTGCAAGATAGTGATGATGTTTTGTACAAGAATAATTTTATTCTTTTATTTCGTAAAGTAGCAAAATGCTTGATCGATTACATTCAGTCCAATATTATAATGAATGCTCTAATACAAAAATGATAGATAAGTAACTCTTCTCTTAGGAATACTAAACGAAATCTTACTATAAAACTATTTACAATTTCATAAATGCTCTTAAGCTACAAAACTTGAACTGATTCGACTACTGTACCTAGATTAGCCTACTGAGTTATATCATTCGAAGTCACGTAATTTGAGTCAGCTCGCCAAAACTATTTTCATTTTTATTATAAAGCTTCGCTAATACATAACTTTTAAAAGACTCTTAGGTCAATCTACAGGAGACAATTTGATCCAGTTATGATCTAAACAAGTTTTTTATCATGTAAAATACATCGGAACGAGTGGCAAGAAAATGAAATTCTAAATTCTAAATTTAAGTCACTCCAAGTGACCCTAAACTTAAGAAAACAGATGAGTACTACATATAAAAGATGTAGAAAAAACAGTACGAACTAAGCAAATCAAATAAGACTAGCAACAATATCACGATCACGAAGCACCATCGAGTAACATAATGTGTCTGAAGCAAGAGATGATCGATGCTTTCATTGTACATATCCTGCAATGCTAAATAACGACTTGCTTGCAACAGATGATGCTGGAATAATGTTAAAAGCTCGAACAAGAGCAGCCATTTTAGGAAGATCATGTTGGTACGCATTCCAGAATTCCTCAAAGGATTGACAACCTTGAACTCTATCTAAATAGAATGCAAGCTCTTCCTTCGATGATCGTTTTCGTAATGTAGTCATGTTTGATGAAGAAGAACTTGTTAAAACGCCACAGTTGGCGAGAAAAAGATCTAACGGATCGTTTATCCGTTGTGATCTGTTTATGACAGGAGTATTTTGATTTTGTTCAGATGTATCATTTGCATTGATCTTTTTTAGGATCAAATCTTCAGCTTTAGCTTTATCAATTTCGTACATTTTTTGAAATGTATGAGGATCAAGGTACGCTGCTATCTGTAATAAAAGCATACAAAATTATAAATTAAACAAAAAGGGAGAAGAAAATAGTTTTGAATATGAATGTCAAGAATAACAATAAATTAATAAGTACTCTCAAAAGACGTTCTATAAACCGATGGTTATCATTCATCTTCGAAGCATGTTTCATCAATTAAAATGTGCTTCATCTGACGTAGGACGTGAACAGCATTTTTTTCAAATATGACTGAATTACATATCAATAGAAGGCTACTTAAGCGTTTTTCGATGTTCTCATCTATGTTTTGAGAAAACAATACCTATTCGCAAATTATTATGTTACATAA